ATTTAATGCTTTGCAGTTTGTTTGAAGAAGTAACAAATAGTCTCAAATTCATCCCTATTCAGACGGAAAAATTTTAAGAAAGTGAAACATGCTAGATTTTGCTATATCTACTCTCTCCTCCCTTCTGTGTTCTTTTGGTAATGTTGTGAACTTAAGAAGGGCCCTGCTGGATAATTGCAAAGCTGATGTTTTCCAGGATCTTGTTTCCCAAGAAAGCCAAAGACGTGCTATAGAATAGGCCTGCGGGAGTAGCCCACTCCCTCCCATTGTTGTTCTGCAGCAGCTGGGATTCACAGTCATGCAGCCACTGGTCCTGTAGGAAACATGTAGCCCCTGTCATGACGAGTACCCACTGGTATCCCTGTTTTCCTGTAGGAAGGCTGTGATTGCCATTCATGCAAATGTTCCTTTTCAGTAGGGTAGGTGTGCATTGAAAATTCTGTTCTTTTCTTTCCTTTAGTTGGCTGCAGATCCCATTTAGCATTAGATTTTAGAATCAAGTCAAGTGCCTGTGTGTGCGAGAAGTGCCGTAGATGTCTTGAGTCTCCCATGTGAGGTTTGACAAGTAGCCACTGGAAACCTTGTTCTGTGGTGGGAAGGTGGTGATTGCCATTCATATAATTTTCAGTCTTGTGATACAAGTCACAACCACCTCATCCCAGCTACCCTTTGAGATTTTGCTGCTAGATGCTCTCTCTATTAGCTTTTTTGTTTTTTCATTTAGGGTCCCATGACCTTTGAGGAGGTGGCTGTGCATTTCACCCAGGAGGAGTGGGTGCTGCTGGAGCCTGACCAGAGGGCCCTACACAGGGAAGTCATGGAGGACAACTGCGGGATCGTGGCGTCTCTTGGTATTTTTCTGGCTGATCATGCCATCTCTTCACAAAGACGTATCAACGTCAAAAAGTATCAATAGCTTAAAAAAACCCAGTAGCGCTAAACCAGTTTTCAGACTGAAGCAGAAGTGGAGGTGAGGCATTAATCCGGGGTTGGCATGAAAGGCCTCTCTGTATGGTAATGTTTTCAATGACTTCCTAAATGAGTACAGGGAGGGGCCCAGGTGTAGCTTCTCAGGGAGTTGATTCCGTAACGTTGGTGCCACCGCCAAGAAGGCCCTGCCTCTTGTAGGTGACTTTCAGGCCTCTCTCGGGGTGGCTACATGGAGGAGCCTGACCCGAGAAGATCTGGTGGGTCGGGCAGATGACTTTGGGGAAAGACACTCCGAGAGGTAACAGGGTCCTAAATCATGAAGGGCTTTCTGTGTGAGTGTCAAAACCTTGAACCTGATCTCAGGTCCCCAGTGGAGGCTGGCCATCACTGGGGTGATGTGATCAAATTAGCTCACACCATCCACTTCTCTGGCCATCGTGTTCTGGACCTTCTGGAGTCTCCGGTCAGTCTCAAGGTAAGCTCTGGGTACAGAGCATTGCAGTAGTCAGTCCGGGAGAGGATTAGTGCCTGCACCGACGTCTTGAGGGAGCTCTCATCTATGTAGGGGCAGAAAAGCCTCTTAAAATGTAATAAAAAGAAATTTTACAAGTTTGTGTTCGTCTTTGTTTTTAGTAAGCTGTTTAGTCCTGAGAACGGAATGTATTTTCTGTGTTTAGAGAAAATAAATCCACTGAACAACTGGTTGATGGGGCTTTGCTTAATATACCTACTACCTAAGATTTTCACCCTCTCTGTCCTTCCCCTCTGATCTTTCAGTTCCAGATCTTAAGCATGTTTCCGAAATGGAGCCGAGGGTAGATCCGTGGATTTTGAATGGAAACAAACGCTCGGATATCGGATCAGTAACCTCTCTGGGTAAGCCAGCTTGACAAATCGCGGCCTGCAGATCTTAGTGGGAGTTGGCTAGAAAAACTCTTATCCCTGTTTCATCATCTTAATGTCTGGAACAGAGATTAGGAATCCTGTGTTTGGATCCGTTGGTTTCTCTTGCAATGAGAGCAGTGAGGTGTTATAGTTCAGAAGCTGCGTTCCGGGTGCAAACATCCAGCCTGTGAGAGAGATTCATGATGCCCATGACTGCTATCCCTTCTTTCTTATCAACGTGGGGCCAAAGGATGATGCCGGGAACAGCTAACAGCATACTGCAAGTGACTGTGAGGGTCTGGGATAGGTAGAATACTGAATGTCAACACTTGGTTTTGTTGATGGTCTCAGCGGGAAAGGTTTGGTGGCTTGACCGACAGGCTGTGGTTTCTAGGAAGAAGGTGGCCCTGGAAGTGATGGGTTGCCTCTTAAGAGACGTTGGAAAGGACAGATTTGTCAGATGTGCTGCCAACCAGATCAGGGGAGTTTTGAATGGAACTCTGTCAGGGAGGGTGACCGTTTTCTGGAGATCATGAGACAAGTGTTGGGGACCAGATTATTAGTGATTTATTAGAAATTAGGGTGGTGGCACAGTAATGTGCCAAAGGAGGAGAAAGAGCCTCAAGGAAACAGCTTGGGGGAACGACCCATGGCTTCAGATGTCTCTGTAGCAATGCACAGAGCAAGGGAAGTCAACAAGATGTGCTTGAACTCTTAACACAGGAAGACCAATATGGTTTCAGGCAAAAGAAGTACAGTGGTGCCTCGCATAGCGATCACTCTGTTTTATGGCGAAATCACTTTGTGACGCTGTTTTTGCAATCACAAAAGTGACCGCTTAGCGATGGCCCCTATGGGGAAAATTCACTGTGCTGATCGGCGGTTCCAAAATGGCTGCCAGGTAAACAAAATGGCTGCCCGCTGTGTTGCCTCGCTTTAGAGGCATCCAAAATGGCCACCGCAATGGAGGATTTTCGCTTAAGGTGAGTTTTTAAGCCCATAGGAACACATTAATGGAGTTTTAATGCATTTCTATGGGCTTTTTTATTTCTCAGCGACGAAATCCCTTAGCGACGTTTTTCCTGGAACAGATTAATGTCGCTAAGCGAGGCACCACTGTAGATCAAACATGGACGGGGAGGGAGAAGGAAAAGGATGTCCATAGCTGGGAAGAAATCTGCAGGAACAAATGGGTGATGCCAGGCAGAGTCATCAACATCTTGCAGGTGACTGGGGGTCTAGATGAGAAGGTAAAGAACAATGGGATTTTTTTTTTCATTTCTGCCTTCTGTCTGGGATCATAGCCTTCAGAAATACTGAACTCCGTGGCTGGAAGATGTCTTTGGGACATTTGAGAATTGTTGTTGTTTAGTCGTTTAGTCGTGTCCGACTCTTCATGACCCCATTGAGAATAGTACTACTCTGGAATTCGGGAAATCTGGTTTCACTGTACAGTGGTGCCTCGCTTGACGAGGATAATCCGTTCCAGTGAAATCGCTGTAGAATGAAATTGTCCTCAAGTGAAAGTAGAAAGTCCATTGAAATGCATCAAAACCCGGTTAATGCATTCCAATGGGCGAAATACCTCAGTGTCCAGTGAAGATCCTCCATAGGGCAGCCATTTTCTGGTGCCTGTAATGCGAGGAATCCGTCCTAAAGTACAGTGGGGAGCCATTTTGCACAGTGGGCGCCCATTTTGAAACCCTACTATCAGCTGTTTTCTGATTGTTGTTAAGCGAAAAATTGGTTCCCGAAGCAGGGAACCGATCATCGTCAAGCGAAATTCCCCCATTTAGTCATTGTTTAGCGATCGCAATAGCGATAGCAAAAAACTAATCGTAAAGCAATTTCCTCGTCTAACGAGATAATCGTCAAGCGGGGCACCACTGTATTAACCGATTTCTTGGGCAACATAAAGTGTGGTCAAGCAACCTTTGTGAATATATGTGCAAGAATATGAAAAAAAAAATTATATCCTTAGCAAATATGGCTTAGTATGTTCCATTTGTATGACTTTTAATTGAGCATTTTTTCCAAAATATACAGAAACATGTACAAATCATTGTGCACGTCATTGGATTGCTCCCTAGTTTCTCACTGTATTCTGCCTTCACTGTCTTAACTTCCAGTTCCCAAGCTTGAGGTCATTTCTGAAATGGTGCCGAGGGAAGATTCACAGGGTTTGGATGAAGGGGAAACCTCAGAATTCAGATCAGGAACGTCCTTGGGTAAGCCTGCTTGACAAAACGCCACCCAAAAATACTTCTGCTGGTCGCTTCCAAAAACTCTTGTAGTTAGCTCGTGGAGCCTCGTGGTGCAGTGGTTAAACTGCAGTACTGCAGTCAAAACTCCACTCACAATTTGGGTTCAATCCCAGGTAGATGGCTGGAGCTTCACTCAGCCTTCCATCCTTCCGAAATGAATAAATTGAGTACCCAGCTCGCTGGGGGGGGGTGTGTGTGTGTAATGTGTACCCTGCATAATTAACTTGTACGCCACCCAGAGAGTGTTTTAAGTACAGTGGTGCCTCGTACGAGTGCCCCGTTTAACGATGAATTCGCATAGCGATGGCATTTTTGCCATCGCTTTTGTGATCGTATA